TTCGAAGCAAGCTAGGTGCAGCATTGTGTGGTAAAGTGCCAGATGCCTCTATCTTGGAGATCAAATCCCGGAGGCGGCAACTCCACACAGCGACAGACTCATTCTTTTCCTGGCGGGCAGTGTAAAAACGCTCCATAAGCGTCTCGCCAGGCATCACATTGCCAAACACTAAGTCCAACTGCTCAATAGCAGTGTCAAGGGTAACAGTTTCTGAAAGCCCACTAAGTAGGTCAGCAGCTGAACCCTTGGCGGACCTCCGCATGGCATTTAGAATTGAAGTGTCCGAGAATGCATTCTCCCTACGACACCCAACAATCTCTAAATGCCATTGCTTATACTTGACCTCACCCTTGGTCCCATCCCCAGAAAATGATGACAACCGTGGACTGGGAGAATTGATAATGGGCATGTAAGTAGGCTGAAAGGGTGTGACAAGTCTAGGAGGAGCACCTACACTATGGCTATAAAAGGTAGTTGGATTATAACCTGGATATGGTGTTGGAATAGTGCGGCTAGGCCAAGACTCATGCGGTGTGTGTGAAGGTTGTGATGGGTAACTATTCAGGTAAGGTGTAGAAGTTGCCCTAGGCTGAAAAAAGTTGTAAATTGAACCATGAGGCCTAGGCAGTGAAGCTGGTAGGTCCATCATAGGACTAAGGTTCACAGTCGCCGGAGAAATCTGAAACAGATTCTCAGAACCTGTGGGCATAGGTGACCTTGATGGTGGCGTATGACTAAGCAGATGAGGTACCGGCCTAGGGGAGTGAACAGGTAATGCCACCCTAGGACTGGTATATATTGTAGGTGGAATAGTGTAAGTATTGGACAACCCAAGACCTGGTGCACCAGTACCAGTAACACGATATGTCGTATTGGGATGCTGCAGCTGATTTGCAATATCATCTGCTAGTCTATTTAGCACACCAGTGCGGACCGAAGGATGCAGATGCTGAAGGCAGCTAAGTACCACATCGACCTCCGGGTCCCCACTTACATTAGCTTCAGCCATGGTGATACAAACTAAAGTGCAAGGATGTTTGATATGAGAGGAATATGAACTATATGACACTATCAAAACTGAAGTACCTCCTAAAAGGCGACAAGAATCTCACAAGTTAAGATCCAACAAACATCTGAACATCAACAAACTATGAGCTCCTCACCAAAGGATACAAAATGGATGCGTCTGAAGTTCAGCATCTAGTGCACCACAAGGTACAAGAACAATGAACTGCAGCTAGCCAAAAATAGAAGTAAGGGAACCAAAAGTCCTCACTGAGCTAAACTGGAAAAGCAGAAACCAAATACCAAAATACGAAGTATCTGACAAAGTCTCCAGAACAAAAGGGAAAAATACAACTTTAGTTTGCTAAGGTAAGTAATACGAAAAAGGTAAGTGGCAAGGTAGGTGTAAGAACAACTGACCACTTGTTGTAATAAGAAATATTACATGACTAAGCTACCACAATCTGGTTACCAAGCAGATGTGTAGGATAAACTAAGTCAATTACGGCAAAGATCACAACAATCTTACCAAAATGTTGCGAGCAGGAATATATATAGGAAGAACTAAGTATGAAGCAATATATAAGTTGCGAACGAGAAGTAATCAACACAAGAGTAATGAATTTGTTTTGATTTGAATGATGAACTAAGATGATGAAATGGTATGAATGAATAGGACGGCACAAGGACAAGACATGATATGGCAAATGTTAGTTGAGCAGATAAGGAATTTCCCAGCAGTGAAAAATATTTCAGACAGGAAAGAAGAGTGAGAAATTTAAAGTAAGAAATATGAAATAACTATTTTAGGGTACTTACTTTGCCAAAAGGTATCCAAGTGACTTAACAAATTAAATGGCTTATCTTATACCAGTAAACTGCAAATTAATTTAATAAAATTCATTGAATGAAGATGAAAATTACAATATATCACAATTAGCTATCACAGTTAAAGGGCAGTATAAATAGAATTTATCAAAATTCTGTAAAGATATAGGTTGATTTTAAATAAGAATTTAATTAAATGAGAATTCTGCAATGATAACTCAGAATGGCAACAAGTGGGTCACACAGCTGTACAACTTTACAGTTGTCAACAGTGCTTCCTAAGTGGAAAATATGATGATCACAAGTGTGACAAGATAAAGTTTCAAAAATGTTCAAGTAATGGTGATGAACATATCAAGCATATATATATATACAATGAAACAGTCAACTAATGACATTCTGATAAAATTTAGTTCAGAATGTAAACAAAGTTCATGGTCACAGTTCACAGATCAAAAGTTCATGTGTGAACAAAATGACAAATACATGTAAATCAGTTAAAATAAAAGTCACACTTCCAGGAATTGGAGGAAGCACCTCAATTTTAGCACTGATGCAGACGAAAAGTTCAACGTCATAACAAAGTGTAGATCACTGACGATTGAGGATCAAGATTTAATTTTAGTCAGAGTTATAGCTCAACGCTACACACAAAACTTCCACAAGTTGCATGGAAGAAACATCCTGAATCTTCAATGAAGAATCCTTCAACAGTGATGAAGGATTACCCCCAGAACACGATGAAGTTGATGAAGCCTGTGTCCAGAGTGACAGCCAACGGCCCCACGTTGGGCGCCAAATTTGTAGCCGGGGTAGTGGTATTTATCCGGCTCGGGCCGTTGGGAAACACAGACACAGGCAGATGGTGATAATGGATTTATTTCAAGGGGGGTGGCTGCTGTTGAAGAACTACCTGAAGAAAAGAAAATGTCCTTCCTCCTCAACAGCAGCACATGAAGTCATATATTTGCAAGTTTACAGGTATTATTTATCTTAAATATAAAAGTACAAAAGCCATTGATAAACTATACTAAAACTAACTTTAATGTTAAATTACTGTTATATGTTCATTATAGGATACTTGGAAAGCACATGGTCCAAAATGGACCATGTGGTTAATTATTTTACAAGCAAGTTTTATAATATCAATATTCCATTTACTAATTTAATATTACTTTAAATGATATTATATATATATTATTCAATTTAATTCAGCACCCTAATATAGATATTAATTTCTGACAGAAGCAGATGAAAACAGATTGAAATATGGCCATTCCATACCTGAAGAAAAGAAAATGTCCTTCCTCCTCAACAGCAGCACATGAAGTGAGGAGGAAGTCAGGTATGGAAGGAAGCTACCTGTAGAGGACCAGGGTGGCCAATTAGAAGACAGATTGCATTAAGCATCAAAGGAAGTGCTTAATGCAAGATATAAATAGACTGAGGGAAACCCTACAGGTGTAAAAAATGTCTAAAGATAGACAGAAGGTTGAAGGGGAAGATCTGGTGAGAGATTCCCAGAGACTGAAAATAAGGGTGTTGAGTTGTTTAAAGAGTTAGATACTGATATTCAACTGTAGACAAGACAAACATTGAACATATAGATGATTATGATGATGATGTATGAATAATGATATAACTATAGGAAGAATATAAGGTACCCTGCTACACTTGCATCACACGTGTGTGGAAGCATAGGAGGGTCAGTGCTGACTAAAAGGGGTGAGAAAGATTGGTACTTGCATCACACATGTGTAGAAGTATTGGAGGGTCAGTGCTGACTAAAAGGGGTGAGAAAGATTGGTGCTTGCATCACACGTGTGTGGAAGTATTGGAGGGTCAGTGCTGACTAAAAGGGGGTGGAAAGATTGGTGCTTGCATCACACATGTAAGGAAGTATAGGAGGGTCAGTGCTGACTAAAAGGGGGTGGAAAGATTGGTACTTGCATCACACATGTGTGGAAGTATTGGAGGGTCAGTGCTGACTAAAAGGGGTGAGAAAGATTGGTACTTGCATCACACATGTGTGGAAGTATAGGAGGGTCAGTGCTGACTAAAAGGGGGTTGAAAGATTGGTGCTTGCATCACACATGTGTGGAAGTATAGAAGGGTCAGTGCTGGCTGCAAGAGGTGAGAAGGATTGGTACTTGCATCACACATGTGTGGAAGTATTGGAGGGTCAGTGCTGACTTAAAGGGGGTGGAAAGATTGGTGCTTGCATCACAAATGTGTGGAAGTATAGGAGGGTCAGTGCTGACTTAAAGGGGGTGGAAAGATTGGTGCTTGCATCACATGTGTGTGGAAGTATTGGAGGGTCAGTGCTGACTAAAAGGGGTGGGAAGGATTGGTACTTGCATCACACATGTGTGGAAGTATAGGAGGGTCAGTGCTGGCTACAAGAGGTGAGAAGGATTGGTACTTGCATCACACATGTGTGGAAGTATTGGAGGGTCAGTGCTGACTTAAAGGGGTGGAAAGATTGGTGCTTGCATCACACATGTGTAGAAGTATTGGAGGGTCAGTGCTGACTAAAAGGGGGTGGAAAGATTGGTGCTTGCATCACACATGTGTGGAAGTATTGGAGGGTCAGTGCTGGCTACAAGAGGTGAGAAGGATTGGTGCTTGCATCACACATGTGTGGAAGTATTGGAGGGTCAGTGCTGGCTACAAGGGGTGAGAAAGATTGGTGCTTGCATCACATGTGTGTGGAAGTATAGGAGGGTTAGTGCTGGCTACAAGGGGTCGAGGTTTTGAATCTTGCTCTAATTATATAAGAACAAGGTTACACTGAAAAAACAACACTTTGATCATAGTTATTGCTCCATGTTGTATTATCAACACTTTCATAAAGACTTCTTTCATGGCCAAACATTTCCATGTGTTCCTATCTGTCAATTTCTACAGCAATGACCTGCTCAGTTTCAGAATGGCATGCAATATTCTCACTAGATGTTTTGTGAAGCAATAATGTACATTTTTCAATATCTGCTCTGGAGATGACCTTACACGGACGTACAGACACACAGATGGACTGACTGAGCCCATTTTTTACCCCCTGCAAAACGTGTTGCGATGGATAAAAAATGCAACCCAAACAGTTACATTTTAGCCTGAACATGCCGACATGTAACACCACAACTCATGTACAATTGTGGCCGACTGACCTGAACAAGGTAACAGGACAGAAGTGTTCATTGCTGTAGTGACTGAGCAGCTCCACCTTGACAAACTTCACAAACTGCTGGTCATCCACCTGAAAGGCCTGTGCAGTCTTCTCTTGTGTCGCTTCATACTCGCCCAACTCACGCCAATCTTTGGCTGGAAACCTGCAAGTAGCATTCCCACAATCAATCTGTATTGTTTGCCACACACAAATAATTTGATCACTGTTTCTGAGGTTGGTTGCATTATCTTACCACATGCTCGGTTGTGCTGTTGAGTCATGTTCAGTCAGTCGGAGTCACATTCTTAATGAACATGGAATACTAGAAGACAGAAATGATGTAAGAATGAGGATATATTTACCTGTCACTCAGGGACACTCGAAATGTCTTTGGCTGAGAAGAAAACAGCTCTAAGCTTGCAATTTCAACTGTCTTCACTTGAATTGGTTCACAAAGTTCTATGGCAAACCTAAAACAGTCAACATGAAGCAGTGCAATTCCAGTGTAAATGATACATTATCATCCTATATAATACTGCATTACATGTACCAAACCCCCAAGACAAGATCAAGATATTTGTTAGAGGAACTTTCTAATGAATACAACACAAAGACTATTTACAGTAGCTGTAATCGGCTTTAGTGATTTGTACCATGTCCTCCTAGACACATTATACCATGTCCCCAACACACAATGTACCATGCCCCAAACACACACTGTGTTCTGGAGAACTATAGCCAGGAACATGAAATGTTCGCTGGGAATACCACTGGGAGTTAACTGGGAGCATTCGTGCGAACGCGGAGTGCTTCGCGGATTTTGTAGTTCATGTAAATCGTGCGGCACGTGAAATTGCCTATGTATAGCCAAGCTTTGTGAAAATAAAGTCAGTTTGAAAAACACTGCGTAACAAATGGTAGCAGAGCGTGGTTTTGAATAGTTTAGAGCAGTGTTATCTGGGTATAGGGTGCAGTGTTTACTTTAGTAGAATAGTTGCATGTTACGTCGTGTGTTGACATTTAGTTAGGGTTATAGTGGAGTTTGAGTCACAGTTTATAGAACAAACAGGTTTTGAACTTATTTGTTGACTGTTTCTTTAAGTTTCAGGCACCAAGTCATGTCGCAAACAGGGTCTAAAAAGTCAGCTCATGACTTTCCTGACTATGTGGCAGAAATAGCAGAACTTAGACGCAAGAAGGCTATAGTCAAATCAGCCTTCACTAAAGCAACGAATAGACTTGAAAGACTTATTGATGAAGAGAATCGTTCCACTCGGACAGAAATCCGAGACGCGATTGACAAAGTTAATGATTGTCAGCTGAAGGCTATCGAGATAGTTATAGCATTGTCTGAAACATTTCACACAATAGGTGATCAAGATAGCATGACGAAAGTTACTGGCGAGGTAACACAGATAGAGGAGATAGGGAATGCGATACAAGAACGAGCTCAAGAATATTTGCGAAACAGGGCAGATACGAGATCGTTCAGCAGCGTTAGAACAGGATTATCCAGATTATTTACGGCTGAAAAAGAAAAGCATGTTACTGTTGTCACTGCTTCTCACGTAGAGCAAGCGGAACCACAGTTGGGGTTAGATGTTGCTAGTTTAGATCAGAGGTCACAAACAAATGTCATTGGGTTAGGTCGGCGGCAGCAGACCAATGCAGATGAATTTAGTCATATGAATAGGCCAGAACCCATCACGCAGAAGAATGTTAGACATACAATTTCCCCAGAAACTGTTGGAAATTCGAGAAGTTACAATTTGGGAAATGATATGTGGAAGCAGTTGCGACGTGTTTCCATTCCTACTTTCTCGGGTGATGCCAAATCATATGAGGGTTGGAAAGCGGCTTTCATGGCTTGTGTTCATAAGGCTCCAGCTACACCCGAGTACAAGCTTTTACAGTTGCGTCAGTACTTAGCTGGGGATGCAATGAAAGTCATACAAGATTTAGGTCATAGTGCGGCTGCATATGACGTAGCACTAGATAGATTAGAGAGGAAGTATGGTGGCAAGAGACGCCAAATTACATTACAGTTGGAGGAAGTGTGTAACTTTAGGCCAATTCGTCCTGGCAATGTCAAGGATATTGAGCGGTATGCTGACATGTTAGACACTGTCGTGGTGAATCTTAGAGATACTGACAGACTAGAAGAGTTGGGCAATGGAGCATTATATAATCAGTTACTGAAGAAAATGACAGAATCTATGTTAACTGACTATCAAAGGTGGGTCTTTGATCAAGAGCGTCAAGAATCGGTAGACACATTGCGTGAGTGGGTGTTGCAAGAAACTGAGTTTAATGTTGTAGCATCAGAAACTTTGCATGGCATTTCCCAAAAGGGAAGGATTACAGTTAGAGGTCAGAGCAAATCAGGTTCATACTTTGGGGATCGACAGACTGAAACGAACGCTCAGTGTGTGCTCTGTAAAAGTGGTCATCATATTTGGAACTGTAAACAGTTCAAGACAATGACAGTTCCCACAAGATGGGAAACTGCTAAACAATTGAACCTTTGCTTCAGGTGTTTGGGCACTAACCATCGAGGTAACAGTTGCAGACGCAGAATCACCTGTGGAATAGATAACTGTACCGCAACTCATAGTAGATTTCTTCACTCAACAAAGAGAACTTGTGACAATGTTTCTAAAGCTGAAACTGAAAAGCAACATGGAAGTCATGGTCCATCTGTAGTTACAATGTCTTCCACTAAATCTAGCAAGTCAATGCTAGTATCATTGAGAACAGTGCCAGTAGTTCTAAAGAATGGAAAGAACAGAATTGTTGTTAATGCACTATTGGATGATGCCAGCACACAGACTTATATTAATCAAGATGTTGCCTCAGAATTAGGGTTATGGGGTCCTACAGAGAAAGTTTCAGTTAATGTCCTCAATGGACAACATGAAACATTGGAAACTATGTCAGTTCAAGTTGGACTAGAGAGTTTGGATGGTTCAGTCAATACTACAATATCTGCCTTAACAACTACCCGGGTCATGGGACAGATGCAGGTTGTTGATTGGCAGAAGTTTGCAGGAAGATGGAAACACCTTGACAGCATTGAGTTTCCAAAAGTCAAATCTCCTCATATAGTAGATCTTCTTATTGGAATGGATTATCTTGAACTGCATAGATCCTATCAGGATATCCCAGGTCAGGAAGGTGAGCCAACAGCACGGTTAACTCCCTTGGGTTGGACCTGTGTTGGTAGGATACCAGGATTAAGTGATTGTCAGAATTCGGGCACATTCTTCACTGACAGTAGGGAAGTTGAATTAAGTTCAATATTACAGAAATTCTGGGAAGTTGATGAAGTTCCCCCTTTGACATCTATCCTTTCCAAGGATGATGAATTTGTGATTGAATCTGTAAAAGATACAATCAGATACCAGAATGGTCGGTATCAAATTGGCATACCATGGAAGGAAAATGCAAGTCCTTTACCAGACAATTGGGAAATAGCTTACAAACGTCTCTGTTGCACAGAGAAGAAATTATCAAAAGACAAACAGGTTGCTGATACTTATGATGGTATCATATCTCGGTATCTTGAAAAAGGTTACATTGAAAAGGTGTCCATTGATGGAACAGATGTACCTTGTGGATGGTACTTACCTCATTTCCCCGTAGTGCGTCCAGATAGGGAAACTACCAAGGTTCGCATTGTCTTTGATGCATCAGCAAAATGTGAAGGTGTGTCATTGAATGACAGTATCCATCAAGGTCCAAAGTTACAAGGTGACCTATTTCAGATATTGCTCAGGTTTAGAAGGTACTCGGTAGCCATAGTATGTGACATTGCAGAAATGTATCTTCAGATAGAAATGTTGCCAAAGGACCGGTCATTCTTTTGATTTCTTTAGAGGTCAAACAATCAGAATGACATGACACAGGTTTACCAATTCTCAAGAGTAGTCTTTGGTGTTAATGCCTCTCCGTTTTTGGCACAGTACATATCACAAGAACATGCTAGAAGGTTTCAAGATACTCTACCAAAAGCTGCTGAGACTGTGTTATAGTCGACCTATATGGATGACAACATAGACTCGCTTCCAAATGAGGTCGAAGCCATAGAGCTGTATGAGCAGCTTACAGAGTTGTGGGGAAAGGCAGGCATGTGTGCACGAAAGTGGTTAAGCAATTCACCTGAAGTCTTACAGAAAATTCCCATAGAAAATAGGGCTACTGAGGTTGATCTTGGTAGGGGTGAGTTGCCAACTACAAAAACACTTGGTTCTGACGTGGGTGGCAAAAGATGACGAGTTTAGCTTCCGAAATACTAGTGCACAAAACAGTTGGATACTTACAAAGAGGGGTTTTCTTAGAGAAATGGCTAGGGTATTCGATCCGTTAGGATTCCTTGCTCCTTTCATCATCAAAGCGAAAATCATCATGCAGGAAATCTGGCTCAAGGGTTTAGATTGGGATGAAGAGCTTGATAATGATTTGAAACAGAAAGCATTGCTTTGGCTCAATCAAATAAAACAGTTGGAGGCTGTTAGATTCCCGAGATGCTTGCAACTCAACTTCAAAATTGAGAACAGGAAATTACATGTTTTCGTTGATGCATCTGAAAATGCATATGGGGCAGTAGTCTACAACGTGACTACCTATCAAAATGGGATGGTGTCAAGTCGCTTGGTGGCATCAAAATGTCGAGTAGCACCTCTGAAATCGGTCAGCATTCCTAGAATGGAGTTAATGGCAGCAATATTAGGAGTAAAGTTGATCTTGACTGTAGTCAAAGCTCTTGAAATACCAATGACTAGTGTGATTCTTTGGTCAGATAGTCAAAATGTGCTAGATTGGATAAAAAACCATAGCCGCACATTCAAAACATTTGTAGCTAATCGGATAGCTTTTATCCAAGAAAATACTGTTCCTAGTCAGTGGAACTACGTTCCTTCTGTTCAGAATCCAGCAGATATCCTGTCTAGGGGTACAACAGTTGCTAATTTGAACAAAGCATGGACTTCTGGACCTGACTTTCTGGAAAAAGATGTGACAGAATGGCCTTTACAGATGGGGAACAACCAAACATTAGATGATTCTGAAGCCAGGAAACCTGTTATATCGACAAAGCAGTTCTTTGCAATGGCAACACCTGACCGGTGTTGGAGGGTTCAATCCGAAAAAACGTTGGCGAAGAGTGCAAGAACTTGTACGCCACTTTTGGAAACGGTGGATGTCTGAATGGCTTCCTTATCTAAAAGCAAGGAAGAAATGGTTTATACCAAACCGTGATCTTGAAGTAGATGACGTCGTTCTGGTTGTCTCCCCTCAGTCACCTAGAGGCAGTTGGATCACCGGACGAATCATAAAGACACATCCTGGAAGAGATGGACACGTTCGAGTCGTTGACATACAGACCAGTAAGGGTGTTGTCACAAGACCAGTGACAAAAGTGTGTCCACTTGAATGGAATGTTTCAGGAACTGCAGCTGGAGAAGGCTTCAAGAACAGAACGGAACAGCAGAAGGATTCGAGGAACGGATGGAAGAATTCGTGAATGGAGGATTCAAAAGGACAGCTGAAGGATTCCGAGGAACGGATAGAAGAATTCGTGAATGGAGGATTCAAAGAACAGCAGAAGGATTCGAGGAACGGATAGAAGAATTCGTGAATGGAGGATTGACAGAAGAGTTCATGGATAGAAGATGTTATTCAAGGATGAACATTCAAGGAAGTATTTCGAGTGACTGAAACATTAATATTTTTCATTTTATAAAACAGGATGTGTTCTTTCTTTTTAACAATGAACATGATACTCACCAGTGAATTGACATGCTTTCAAGTGGAATATTTCTTATTTACAGAGATGTGGACGTTGAAATGACTGCTTTGTTTTTCAGGACATGTGTGGACTTTTTATGAACAATTAAGTCGCATATTATTTCATGTATACTATGTTGTGATCGATAGCTACTATTTGAAATGATAGACTGGGATCTATCATTTGTAGGGGGGAATGTTCTGGAGAACTATAGCCAGGAACTTGAAATGTTCGCTGGGAATACCACTGGGAGTTAACTGGGAGCATTCGTGCGAACGTGGAGTGCTTCGCGGATTTTGTAGTTCATGTAAATCGTGCGGCACGTGAAATTGCCTATGTATAGCCAAGCTTTGTGAAAATAAAGTCAGTTTGAAAAACACTGCGTAACACACTGTACCATGCCTCCCCAACACACATTATACCTTGCCCCCCAACACACATTGTACCATGCCCCAAACACACATTGTACCATGTCCCCCAACACACATTGTACCATGCCCCCCAACACACATTATACCTTGCCCCCAAACACACATTTTACCTTGCCCAAAACACACATTTTACCTTGCCCCAAACACACATTATACCATGCCCCCCAACACACATTGTACCATGCCCCCCCCCCCCAACACACATTGTACCATGCCCCCAACACACATTGTACCAAGCCCCCCAACACGCATTGTACCATGCCCCCCAACACGCATTGTACCATGCCCCCAACACACATTGTACCATGCCCCCCAACACACATTGTACCATGCCCCCAAACACACATTATACCTTGCCCCCAACACACATTATACCATGCCTCCCAACACACATTATACCATGCCCCCCCAACACACATTATACCATGCCTCCCAACACACGTTATACCTTGCCCCCAACACACATTGTACCATGCCCCCCAACACATATTATACCTTGCCCCCAAACACACATTATACCATGCCCCCAACACACATTGTACCATGCCCCCCAAAACACATTGTACCATGCCCCCCAAGCACACATTGTACCATACCCCCCAACACACATTGTACCATGCCCCCAACACACATTGTACCATGCCCCCCAACACACATTATACCATGCCCCCCCAACACACATTGTACCATGCCCCCAAACACACATTGTACCATGCCCCCCAAGCACACATTGTACCATACCCCCCAACACACATTGTACCATGCCCCCAAACACACATTATACCATGCCCCCAACACACATTGCACCATGCCCCCCAAAACACATTGTACCATGCCCCCCAAGCACACATTGTACCATACCCCCCAACACACATTGTACCATGCCCCCAACACACATTGTACCTTGCCCCCAACACACATTATACCATGCCCCCCAAGCACACATTGTACCATACCCCCCAACACACATTGTACCATGCCCCCCAAAACACATTGTACCATGCCCCCCAAGCACACATTGTACCATACCCCCCAACACACATTGTACCATGCCCCCAACACACATTGTACCATGCCCCCCAACACACATTGTACCATGCCCCCAACACACATTGTACCATGCCCCCAACACACATTGTACCATGCCCCCAAACATACATTGTACCATGCCCCCAACACACATTGTACCTTGCCCCCCAAAACAAATTGTACGATGCCCCCCAACACACATTGTACCATGCCCCCCAACACACATTGTACCATGCCCCAAACACACATTGTACCATGCCCCAAACACACATTGTACCAAGCCCCCCCAACACACATTATACCTTGCCCCCCAACACACATTGTACCTTGCCCCCCAACACACATTGTACCATGCCCCCCAACACACATTGTACCTTGCCCCCCCCCCCCCCCCCCCCCCCCCCCCCCCCCCCCCCCACACACACACACACACACACACACACACACACACACTTAAATCATACAATTTCTGTATGTTTATACCATGTGCCACCTGTAACCAATTCTTCTGATACAAAGAAGCCAAATCAAGCACAGGACATCTGTCCATAACACTTCGGTCTGATACCTTACTCCATGCATGCTTATCAAATACAGTAAACTACTGTCATAACTCACCACTGTCACCACTAATTTTAGTTTGTTATATGCGATTTCGTTATAAACAAGGTTTACTGTATAGTGCTTTGAGCGCGCTTTAGAACATGGATTTGGTGCAGTATAAATAAGCAAATTATTATTATTATTATTATTATTATTATTATTATTATTATTATAGTTTACTAGCTAGTCACTCTCAATGACTATGTATACATCATTGTAGCTCATGTAATGTAACAACACTTGGAATATCCTAATGGTCACCGCAGGTTCACCTGTCTCAGCCTTATTTGTATCCTGCTATTCATTCCTGAAGTTTATAGTCACTATATGGCTGAAATATTGCCGATGTGACTTTAAATATTAACTCACTCCTGAAGTTTGAGAACGCACGACAAGTGGTAAAAGTAACTTTTGGGAGAGAAGTACACATTATCACTCAAACAAAATTTACTTTCAATCCTTATCAGTTGTCAATGTTTAAGGTGTATCATGGTTTTGTAATTAAATTTTAATAATAGTAAATTCAGGCAGGTGAACATTGACCATTTCCTGGAATTGTTACAGTGTGCAAGAGGTAGGACACAGCTGGGGTTCATACTGTGTGTGACATACAATTGTTTCAAACGTATCATTACCATTTCTTCTGAGCGCCGCATGGATTGAGCATGTACTCATCTTTGTTCCCAGTGAGCACACCCTGCACATTTTCAGCCTCCTGATTGGATGCCAACACCTTAGCCCCACAGTTCTTAGAGGAAAAGTTGATTCGCTGCTTGGACTTGAGAGGAACAGGCATGGGCACCACAGGAACTGGCAACAACACGTTGGCATTTCATCAACCAGGAGTATTTGTTATGTCAAATATTAAATTATTTTAAATCCACAGGTAAAAACACCTCCACAGCACTGTCGGTCACCTTGGTAAGGAGCAAAACACAACAGTGTCATAGATACTAAAATAGTTCTGCATACATATACATGTCAGAGCTACAGATAAGCAGCGTATTTGAGTAAGATACCCCCCAAAGATATTCAAAACCCAATTACTTTCAATTAACTTGCATACAGAAACGCATGCATTAAATGAAAAACTCAAATGTATAAAAGCAGCTCGCGTAAATACCCAATGAAGCTTTTTCAGCATGCATACAAAGGAGCTAATTTGCGAGAAACAATTACGAGCTAATTTACTTTCCGAGTCAAGCCTATATATTTAAAACAGTCATATACATCTAAAACATTATTTCATTTCTTTTAACTCTTAAAATGTTCACTACTTTGGGGAAAAAACCAATAGAGTGATTAATAGAATAGTGAGATGATGTAATAACCCAATTAAAATACAAACCCGAGAGTAAAAACTCAATTGCTCAAAAAGATACCTGGAGCTCTGCTTATATAGATAGAAAAAAACAAACAGACAGATATGAAAAAAGTAACTAAATTTCAACAAGGTTTCTTAATCTGCTACAATGAAAGTCACGTGTAATGTTGACCAGTTGAACAACAGCTCACACTCACAAACTGTAAACTGTTATCCATATTGTCAGTCTGAAATTATGTCGCTTTCTAATTCACCACATACCTTCCCAATTCTTTCAAAGATCACAAAGTTCAATTTTGAACTAATTCTCATAATGGTGACAAACATATAAATAAACTACCACATACGTTACTGTAACTGTGTTATGACACTGCAGTGTGTAACCTGGTACTTAGGGGAGAAAATTCTCTGTATTTATCGGCGTAATGAGATCTCTTGAAATATGAAACTTTAAAGATACATCAAATTGTGCATTTATGTCTACAACTCTGATCAGTAATTTAAGTGAGTGAGTGAGTATGGTTTTACGCCGCTTTTAGCAATATACCAGCAATATCACACCAGAAATGGGCTTCTCACATCGTACCCATGTGGGGAATCAAACCCGGGTCTTCAGCATAATGAGCGAACGCTTTAAACACTAAGCTACCCGACCGCTCATGCCATATTGCACTTTACTTTAAATGCCAAAATTAGTAAAATCTAAATATATTTTTACATTTGTATACTCATCCTGCATTACTCCTTAATGCATTCACTGCTTACCTTATGACAGCTAGAAGGACAGCGCAACAGCCATGGTCTTGGGTGAAGAAATAAAGTTGTTGTTCTGAAGTCCCTTTTACTGACCCCTCGCCGCTGTCCTGTGATTTTACTAAATTTTTTACTTATCCTGCATAAATCCTTAATGCATCTGTTATCGGACGGTTTGGAGGTGGGTAAACCCTCAGAAAACAGAAACCTCAATAATTCACACCCTCAAACACCAGTTGGTCGATAAAGCATGAAGCGGAAAAGTTCAGAAAAACGCCATTACGGTAGGGTTGTTCAAAAATCAAAACGATTGAACATATGAATTAAAGAGAAATTCCCTATTCATATTTAGTGATAAAGAAAAAAATAGCTAATCAGCTAATTCTTTACTCACTACGTCATAGAGCCGTCGTTGACAAACAAGATTGTCTAATATTCTTCCACTGGCGGAGATTGAGTGACTGCACATGGAAGTAGGCTGGCTCTGTATAGGGCGAGTTCATTATTTGCATCAGGGGTTGGTAACCTGCTGGGTTACAACAAGTGGGCCAAAACTTTGCACGCCTTCGACGTACTCGAGAGCCACAACACCAAGATAATGACTAACGAAAACTGTGTTGAACCTCCAGAAATATCCTTCCGTGATTGTTCTAGTAGAACAATTGCAGTGTAGACCCATGGTAAAGGCTAACACCCTGAGATCGTGAGGGTAATTTGCTCTCGGCAGATTCCGTTTTGGCGTTCTCGTAAGCCTCAAGGATGACTGTGCCTAACCATAGGGATATGGTGTTTGCGACTAACTTGGGTCGTGGATGTAGTAAACACGGGTATAAATAACTGCTTCATCGAACCATGCCTAGTCTTGGAGCGGTGAAAGAAAACTCGAACTGCTCGCACCAAGCCCAGGAGAAATGCACCTTCATTGGTCGATATTGGTGGGATGGTGAAGGAATGATTGGGTTGGCCTGGTAGTTGATTTTAGCAATAAAATCCCAGCATAACTGGAGATGCACTGCTCGAGGGTCCCATGCTCAAAGGTGGTGTCTATCGCATGTAATTCGCTCACCCGTACTGCCATGGCTTATGCCAAGAGAAACCATTGTTTCCTTGGTGAAGTCATAAAATGAAGATGCATAGAGGGGCTCAAAGAGGGCTCTCGCAAACCTCGAAGTAGTGAGTGAGTGAGTATGGTTTTACGCCACTTTTAGCAATATTCCAGCAGTATCACGGTGGGGGACACCAGAAATGGGCGTAAAACCAAACTCACTCACTCCAAGTGTCTTTGGGTATGCAAATGTAGGAGGTATTCCTCTAGGGATTGTTGTGATGCAATCATAGGGTCTTGATTCTTTTGTCTTGCAAAAAGTCTCAAATGATCCCCACTTGTCATTGTATAGTCCTCTGAGAGAGGAACGATGAACTAAAGCTATATCTTTGCTGCCCGTGCCAAAAAAAACCTTCGCACTTAAATGCCTTTTAAAGACAACCATGCGTGAAGACGTTGGGTGAGGCAATTTGCTGTGAGGGTGGATGAGTAGGTTGGACCATTGTGGGAGGGGTAGTGGATCGTCTTCTGCTAGATTTTTCTGAGCTCGACGAACCACCCTCTCGCCGGTCACAAGGGCGCAACCAAAGTGAGAGCAAGATACCTTGTCTCCTTGATCCCTTGTATCACCTTGGAAAGTTAAACTGGTGTATGCTTTTAGCCCTTGGGATGCTGAACGCGTCCACCGCCCAAGTCTGCAGATCCGGTAACGGGGACACATACAGTTGGTGGTAAGTAGGTAAGGCAAGTAGCAAACAAGTCGATGTTTGGTTGCCTGAACTTCTGAAGCAGTAACTGGAGTGCTTCTGTGAGAAGTTTCCACTCGGTGGGAGCCATCCTGTTTGGACTTGATAAGGCATCAGCCAGTATGTTTCGACATCTGGGGATTTGCTGAACTATGAACTATAGTTGCAGCCAATCCACTCTATGGAAAAATCTGAATGTCTGTTGAAGTAGAGAGTGGGAGTGCGTTGTTCCCTGATTGAGCAGGCACCACATCGCAGTCCTGTTGTCTGTGGATATTGCGATTTGGGCTGACTGCAGTTGATTCTGCCAATGTGATATGGCCAGAAGTAAAGCTTCCAACTCCAAGTTGTTTATGTGCCACTTTCGCTGAGCGCTGGACCATAGCTCTGAGGTTGTCTGGTCTTGCAAGTGATCATCCCACCACTGAAGGGAGGTGTCCATGAACAGGTGTATATTCGCGGAAAACCCTATTAAAGAGACTCCTCCTAAGACATTCAACTCCACCAACTGAGGTAAGGCCTTAATTCAGCCAGTAGAGTGATGGCCTTGAATGGATCCTGACTCCTGATGTAAGGGTTCAGGAAATGATGAATTGGTCGCAGTTGTAAGCAGCCTAATGTTGGCATGTGTTGATGACACAGTAGACCGTTCTCTATCTACGACTCGAAACCAAGTGTAGATATGCAGTTATTGGCTTCATTACTCCTGTAAATAGCCATAGGGTCACTGAAATGCCACATGGGAACAGGTAGTGAACCCCAGAGTCCCAGTTGGAAAAACTCTAAAGTCTAAAGACGGTAATCTCCACCAGGGCGGCCTCAAGATGAACTTTCCTGTGGTCAATCTGACGCGGTAGGAAAATCACCATAGTTTGGAAGTGCTCTAATCAGATAGGGTTATCCTCTGATAGATCCTGGTCCACCGCAAGCTTTGACGATGTTGGTGGCTTAAATGATGGAGCAAATGTAAGTTTGGAGAAGTCTTCCTCCAATGACCTAGTGGTGTCCCTCTTATTTTCACCGTTACCAGGGGAGGGCGCCACTGACACAAGATGGTCTGCTACCCAATCGGGTACTTGCGCTAAGGCGGTGAACTGCTCCGGTGCGTAGTGCATCCTCTATCAGAAGGCTTTGATGACCTCCCTGGATAAGGAGCCAGGTGCTGATGTTCCCGTACGTGCTGGCGTACTAGCGCTGCCCAGCGATGAATGCTGTACAAGAAAGCACATTAGGCGTTTGGTATATGTAAGGCACAGGTACAGGTGCAGGGGCTTACACTTGTGCCAAAGTTGTTGGAACATCGCTAAGCTGATCATGTGCCAGTTGCATAACCTACTACACTGTCATTGTAGAGACCTTGATTGGTACACAGGCCCTGCACTCAGCGCAGGTCTATGAGACAAGGTTCATCGGTGATGACTGGATCATTGTAGAAGCGCTTGGACCATTGTCCAATTAGCTTTCGGGAACGGTGTTGAGAGTACGTCTGCTGCGTTGGATATGTTGGAACAGCGCTAAACTGATCATGCGTCGCCTGCGTAACATTTACGCTGAAGTCATTGTAGAGGCGCTTGGGTAGTAGTCAGGTGCTGCGCTCGGCGTGGGTAAGTGAGACCCAAAGCTCATTGGTATTGACTTGGCCATGGCTTGGGTCTGCGATTTGCCCATATATATACGCAACTCACTGTTAAGCCAAAGCTAGTAGTATTTAAGAACACAAGAATATGTTATACATACGAAGCTGAGAATTGTAAACAATTTGACTACCTTGGCAGGCAAACAAATGTAACACAATTCAAAATGGCAGCGATCAACAAATATGTGGCAGGAAAAAAGACAGAGTCTTTTTACGCCTAATTAATTCACATAAAACTACACAACATGGTGAAAGTAATATGAAAAGAATACATCACCCATCGCAGATCAATTTTAGGATTGTAGA